TCATGAAACACAAATGACTTAGCAAGAATGAGAGTGTGACTCACACACACACACACACACACACACACACACACACACACACACACACATCTGACCCAGCTGGTTCAAACCAGAGGAGTGGGCAGGAATTCAGTGTAAGGAGGTTTTGTTGGAATTCTGCAGGACTCCAGTTTTGAAGCTGGGATCAGGAAAGAGAAGGGAGAGCTCCATTTTATGGGGTGATCTCTGTATTGCAAGGACTTTTCACCTGTGGTTCTCATCACATCCACAGTTCTTTAGCAAATGGAAACAGAATCTTGGTACACGAAAAGGACTTTAAGATTGTATATAGACTTATACACACATGTGTGTATACGTATACATACATACACATACGTGCACTTTAAATTTTTTTTTTTTTAGTTGTAGATGGATACAATACTTTTATTTTATGGGTTTATTGTGTGGTGCCAGGGATCAAACCCAGTGCCACACACATGCTAGGCAAGAGCATTACCACTGAGTCACAATCCCGCCCCACATACGTGCATTTTTGTGAGAACTTATTTCATTCAATCTGTGTCTTTCAGAGTTTTGAATATAACAGATGCTTGCAGCATTAAAAAAATTTAAAAAAAAATCTTACGAGCTGGAGATATAGCTCAGTTGGTAGGGTGCTTGCCTTGCATGCACAAGGCCCTGGGTTCAATGATCAATACCATAAAAAAAAAAATCTTATGTGATATGTGAGAAAATAGATGACCAGTCAGGGACATTCAGCTGCTATGTAGTAGAGTAGAGGTTCCACCCTCGTTGTTCTGATTGCATATCTAACCCTGGCTCCCAGCAATGTCTGCCTGCTGATGCTGCAGCATGGCCCTGGGGTCTTCCTCCACAGAGATGGGGATGAGAACACAGGACAATCGGTAGGCTGTGGACTGTGGGAGGTCCTCCGATGATTTAGGCTTTCTGGTTTAATCCAGCTCTGCTCATCCTTTTCCTAACCAACCTTTGTGGGCTGCATGACACTGCTGAAACCCCTGCAGGCATTCTGATTCTGATTCTGGGAATCAAAATCTTGCTGTCTCCTGGCATCCTATGGTCAGCAGGGTTGACTTCCTCTCTTGAATAAAATGTACCTGCCCCTTTGCACTGGAAATGGATGGAACCTCCAGTTATTTTTTTGTTGTTCCAGGTCCAGAATATATTCAGCTATCCTCATGAGGCCCAAACTTCTGGCCTGGAGTGACTTATGTATGAACCTGCAAAATTCCACCCAGTCAGCTCTGAGATTACTGAGAGATACAGGGAGTTGCTGAATACAACTCAAAGCGTGATCGACCTCAAAGCCTGCTGCCCCTAGCTTAGATCTCAAATCAGATGACTCCACTGGGTGGAGGGCTATTGCACAATCTCCCTCAGTGGTTTACTTGCTTTGGTGAAATCGCCACAGTCATTGAGTACATCTCATTTATCAAGGCATAGGCAACTAGATTTCTCAGGAATGTCTTGTGTGCCTGTCCTCTGCCCACCAGGCTCCTTTCTGTGTTATATCCTTTGATCCTGAGAGGGAAATGTGGTCCATCCTGCTTTATAGATGAGACTGAGGTGCACAGAGGTCAATGACCATGCAATTGAAATGTGCAGAGTGGTATGGACTCAGAGCTGTATCCCCCCCAAAATGCACTTGACAGTTGCACTGACTCCCCAAAAGCCCCAGCTGTGGACCCCAAGACCCGTCCTGTTCCCGAGTGTAGTCATCACTGATGGATCTCGGGGAGCAGCTGCATCTCTGTCACTAGAATGACGGCTTCCTTCAGGAATTTTCTCCTCATGGCGCCTCCTCTTGCTCATTCATAAGCACTTTTCCTCTCTTCTGGGAGCTATTCTGAGGCCTGCCCTCTCCTCCATCCTCAAGTTCCTCTCGTGCATGAATTTTCTTTTAATGCGCTCCAGCCTGAAGTCTCTGAGTCAGTGGCAGGGGAGATGTGGGCCTTGTCCGGTTGGGAAACCCACCCTTCCTCTGCCCCACCCTGGATTCCAAGGCCTGAGACCTGAAGTCCGTGCAGCTAGCGAGGGGAAGGGTGGAGAATTTCCAATGAGTCTTTTCGGAAGACCTGCAGCTTTGTTCAGTGTGGGAAATAGAAATATCTTGGGGCTACTTTAAGAAAAGTGTTTGAAGGACAAAGTTGTCCTATGCATTGAGTGGCATGTTGTGCTGTCCTCTGTCTGCCTTAGCAGTCAATCCATCCTCAGCCTTTGTGATAGCAGCTATGACACTTTTACGGGGGTGGGGGTGGGAGTGGGGGTGGGGGTGGGGGGAAGCTAAGGCTCACTGAGGGTCTTCTGATTAAGACCCACTGCCCAGGACAGCTGGACCAGGACCAGACCACAGTGGGCTTTTCCTTCTTCCCTGAACTTGCTGTTATTCTGAAGACTTTTTTGCTAAGCAGGAGCTGGACCAACATCATTCCATCCCTACTCCCAGAAGGAAAGGATCGTTGGGTCCTTGATGGCACCGTCTGCTGAAGGTCCTTTCAGCAGAAARGAGGGAGTGGCCCTGTGGACTGTAGCTTTAGATTCACTGTGATTTGGGCATTGCCTCTATTGAGCCAGCCCTGCCTAGGGCCCTTAAAAGCATTCAAATTATTATTTTTTTTTCATGGTATTGGGTGCCTTGCTCAAAACCATATGTTTTTCACCATTGCCTACGGTAATAGTTTCTGTGATCCAGTAGGTAGGTGTTCTGTAAAAATAGTGACTTAAAGCCATATAAGTCTTCAAATCTCATAAGCATTATCAGTGACAGAAATAAGGATGCAGTATAAAGAACATTTGCCAGTTTCTTTTTTATTTTATTTTTTTAAACAGTCCTTTTGTATTCCATACAAAGTGGGGAATATGGGTCTTCTGAATAAAGACCAGGTTCTTTAGTTTGACATCCAAGGTCCTTTGAGAACTGACCCTTTCTTTGTCTCTGTGGCCTTATTCCTTTTCATGGAGGAATTCCTTATCCTCTTTTTCTGAGGTGCTGAATGACTTGAAGTTCCTGGGGACATGGATGGCAGAGCTCAGCCATCCCTCTGTGGAATCCATACCCTCACCACTGCTCCCTTAACCCCCAGCAAACTCCCCTGTTCATCTTTAAGATTCAAGTTGTTCCTTCTCCTTAAGTCATGGACCCTGTTCCCCCAGCTTCCTTCATGGGTCCTACAAAACACATTAGTACACTTTTTTTTGCATCCCCTAACTAGGCCTGGCCAGGCAGGAATTTTTTTTTTTTTTTTAAAGAGAGAGTGAGAGAGGAGAGAGAGAGAGAGAGAGAGAGAGAGAGAGAGAGAGAGAGAGAGAGAATTTTTAATATTTATTTTTTAGTTTTCGGCGGACACAACATCTTTGTATGTGGTGCTGAGGATCGAACCCGGGCCGCACGCATGCCAGGCRAGCGCGCTACTGCTTGAGCCACATCCCCAGCCCCCCAGGCAGGAATTTTAACTTCTAGTTTCTGTACATTTTTTCACTTGTCACGGAACCTGGCTGACACTTTTGATCTCCATCTCTTCTGGCTATAGGTCCAGGTTTTGTCTTTAAGGATTATTTTCAGCATAAGTTTTTCTATTCTTTCCCCCTAAATTTTTCTATGATGTCCATGGGAATCTACTTGAATTTACATATGAACTACTGAATTTGTAACAGGATGATTTTCTTGCTTCTTTTAGATTTTTAATTACCTATGAGAGGACCACTGATCTTTATCACTGGTTTAGTGGCCAGTGACATCAGTGCAGTCTCTTATGTTGTTCATTCATTGCTCTTAGGTTTTTTCCAAGATTCCACTTACATAATTTCAAAATGGTTATGAAGCTGCCTGCTGTTTTCCGTGCCTGTCTTTTTTTGGAAATCGTTTTCCAAGTCTTTGAGGGTTGAGTCCTAGACGCTATTCCTGCAGCCAAGAGTGACTGAGCCCTTCCACTCTTCTGGCTCCTCAGAACTGGCTGCTTCTTGCTTCTTTCTTCCTGACCCCAAGAGGAAGGGCAGAGCCCCCCTTTTGCCACTGCCACGGGTCTGCTGGAGGCCAGCAGCCCCTCCCTCTGCGCTTCCCCTCTCCCCTGGCCTCTCCCAGGGCTTTGATTTGTAGTCGGAAGTTCCCCTTGTCCCTTTGCCGCTTCCCCCCCTCATTTCCCAAGTTCCCACAGGAACCTGGGAAGTAGGTTGTGCCCAGAGGTTAGAACGGAAACTGCAGCCAGATAACTCTTGAGGGGACAATACCCAGTTGACGTCATTTCAACTTCTTTCCTTCAGCCAGAGGTGTTTTAGTTTTTTTTTTTTTTCTTTTCCATTTTTCTTCAGGTTACTTTTCTACTCCCCCCCCCCCCATCCAGTGTCCCTCAGTCTCTTCTTGAAAGTTCTCTGGCATTGTCTGGCTGRTTTATGTGTTTCCTTCTATGCTAATTCCAAACCCATAGCTCCTAGTGGTGACTTAGAAACTTGTCCTTGGATAGAGTGCTTTGTCTTGAAGCAGAAGCATCCCTCTATCATGACCACTTCCCCTACCACTATTGTATTTCCACGACCTTAGGAGTGGGGAGAGGCAGGGAGTGTAGGGATGGTCCATCCGCTATCTCCAAGGAAATGCACAAATGGATTAAGTGGGTTGTTATCAGTTGTGAAATAAAGTCTTTACGGACCCTTTACTGGTCTTAGTCTCAGTCAAGAAGACGTTAAAAGGAAACACCAGACGTGCCAAGCATAATGTGAAATTCATTTGTGTGTATCATCTTTCTCAGCTTTCCCTAGTTTATCTCTATTTTTCTTATTTTTTTGTCGTTCTTGTAGAACTCAGGCTTGGCATTTAAATAACTGGCTCGAGGTCGTGTCCACATCGAATGCTCCATCCACAACCTACCGCCCCAAGCCTGGGGAGTTCCATTTAGCAGGAACACAGTGTGATTGRAGTTGGTGTCACAGGGCCTGCTAACAGGAGTCACTCAGTGTCTGCTCGTTTTGTCTCCTCTCTCCAGCTATACTTGCAGGCCCGCTTCACCTGGAGAGGTGCCCGCCTGCTTCGACCCCTCCTGCAGTTCACCTTGATCATGATGGCCTTCTACACGGGACTGTCCCGGGTATCCGACCATAAGCACCATCCTTCTGATGTCCTGGCAGGATTTGCTCAAGGAGCCCTGGTGGCCTGCTGCATAGTAAGTAGCCTCTTGGCCTCAGCACGCAAGCGAAGGCCTTTGCTTGTTAAATGTTTCCAGCTCAGTGACCAAAGCAGAGAGCCCTTATTCCTGTTCTCTCGGTATCTGAAGAACCACCTCCTCCCCAGAACCCCATCGCTAAGTGCAAATAATTCATGCTTCCTTCCAGCCTGTGAGTTTTGATCCGACAGGATCTGTAAATCCTCTTCTCCATAAACACAGAAGGTGTGAGTTCATAGAATGTTGCAACTGGAAGAGACCTTAGGTATTGTCCCATTTACTYGCTTTATGTATGAGGACATTTAGACCAGAAACTTGCCAAGGTCACATGTCACATGAGTTAACAGAGTTGAAGTCTCCTGACTCACAGAGTACTCACGTGCTGCTTTGGTGGATGGTTACTCTTCAGTTGAACTCTGCTTTTTGGAAAATGCCTGCTGTTTCCACTGTGACCCTTGAGGCCCTCACTCTGGCTGCAGCAAAGGAGGTTTGCTGAAGCTAAGTCCTTCCCAGGCCAARGGGCTCTCTGCACATTAAGTCAGAGTTCCCTAGAGACTGTACTTGGGAAGGGCCACATGCTGATTTGCCCCAAATGGTTGGGCTACCCCTTGCATACATTTCATCCTGACTTGCAGAGAGGCTGGGATAAAGGCATTCCACCCCTCTGAGCTCCATGGGGTGTCTCTGTTTTTCCTGCCCACTGCAAGGTTCAAGGGGCTTATTCAAGAAACATGGCTGAGCACCTGCTCTGACATTGTGATTTCCTGGGTCCTCTTCAGAGGAGCTGCCCCCAGTCCAGCAGGAGACCCTGAGCACTATAAAGGCTTAAAGATGTTTAAGCAGCACCCATGACATAGGCTGAGTTGTTGTTAGTATTGTCCTTGCTCATTCACAGACAGGATTATGAACAATAGAGAGATCCAGAGCTKCTTTCCCTGTTCCTGGCTTCTAAGCCTGGCTGCAGGCCTGCGTCTCTCTGCAGTCACCCTCTCCTTCTCTGTAATAGCGTTTGTCACTCTGTTGCGATATTAATGTGTCTCCCTTCAGACAGGCAGGGACGGTATGTAACATAAATGTTGGTCTCTCTGTCTTCCCGAGGCYTCTCAGGGCTCCTAGCTCCAGAAGTCAATGTATACTTAATAAGCAAAAAGCTCGAATCAATGAGTTGACTTGGCCCTTCTTGAGATCACTGTAGGGAATAGTCTCCTGAAGGCAGAGGGATGAATAAAGGCTGAGCCCTTGCCCTTAACGAAATCCCATTCTGGCCACATGCACAGCCAAGTCAAGCAGGAGAGCTACAGTACCACGTGGGACTATGGTGGACACATGGGCAGGATGCTCCGGCAGGTGGGCGACAGTCTGAGGCAGTGTGGGCAAGAGGAGGGAGGACGGTCAGGTGTTCAGAGTGGACACCACCACAAAAGTAGGATCGGAACCACTAGGCAGCCTTGACATGGCCTCCTGCCTAAGAGGCTGGCTGTCAAGATGGCGGTCTTCACTGCTTTCTGTTTCCTTTCTTTTCTCTTTTTTTTTAAGTGAAGAGCAGAAGGGAGAAAGATTGGGAAACAGACTGTTAATGAGAGAAGCTGTCACCGTCCAGCTTGTCCTCTGGTGCCTGGCCCTTTAATGTGAAATGACAGAGGGGGTGGGTGTTTGCACTGGAGGGTAACCCTGTGCTGCCTGTGCCCTCTGAGCTTTGCTCCCAGCAGGAGCACAGCCCCCCTGTGGCCTGCTGCTGTGTTTCCTTCTTGGTGGCGCCACTGCCCTAATTGGAGCCTCCTGCACCCCCAATTAAAAAAATTAAAAGGTGTGGGGATTGTTCGGGGCCTTTGCTGTCCTTTATACTCCAGAGCACTGGCCGGGAGCAATTAGACAGTGTTTGGAGGACCCAGGCTTATTTTCAATAAGGGAAATGAGGGTCTGACTCTCATCCTGTTTGACTCTTGCTGTCTGTGGGATGGCATAGGAATGTGGTCCCCGCATTGAGGAAGCACCTTCTGTTTGCGGGCACCTTTGTAGACATTTTACCATCGCGTCTCCTTTTAGCCAAGTGGGACCATTTCACAGATGAGGTAACTCAAGCTCAAGAGTCATGACTTCAGTCATCCAAGGTCAAAGAGCTGGTAGACAGCTGCTCCCAGGATTGGAACGGGCTCACAGCCAGGCCTTCTGCACTTGGCACTTGGCAAGGAGGGCAGGCCACCCAAGCTGGAGACCAGCGGAGGTAACCGGAGGCAGAAGCTGCATTGACAGCTGCTTAAAGAGTGCCATTTAAGTGTGTCAAAGGGTCCTTCCCACCCTCGGGGCTAATCCAGCCACCACTTTGAGTTTGAGAGCCTGTTTTGCCATATACAGATAGTTTGGAAAGGGGTGATAAATCTTTTTCCATCTTCTGCCCATTTAGCTATGAATGCACAAGGGCAGGGACTCAATCTTACTTATTATTTTTCTCCAAATTCCTTATACAACCAGATGCACAGTAGGATACTTGGTTACCGTTGGCTTGGAATCACAGCACGGAGTGGTCTGTTTCATTTAAGTCATCCAAGAGGCCAGGGCGAGGAAGGGCCTCAAAAGTTGTGGCTCCTGAGCATAGGAGTGTGGGAAGCTCTGCTGGGAGAGAGAGGCAATGTGTCCTTAGCCTCTGAAAGCTACCAGGGCTCCGTTTTCCTGGTTGTGATAAAAAAAAAAAAAAGACAGAATCAAGGGCCGGCCCTGGACTGAGCCAGGGATGGTGGTCCAGGAGGAGGTATGGGGACCATGAGGCTGTCTGGTGAGGACACCGGGTGTCCTGGAGGGAGAACAGTGAGGAGGAGGAAGGCGTCTGCCTCACAGGTGTTGCTGCTTTACCAGCCTCCTCCCTGGTTGTGCAACGTGGCTCTCACGTTCTCGGCAGGAGTCTCTGGCCTCTACTGTCCTTGTGCGGTGTAGCAGAACTCTACCCAAGAACCAGAGCTGGCGTTCCAGTGAGTTCCACAAGAAGCCCAGTATGCTTCTTACCCATGAGCATGGCTCTGTTGAGTGGTTCTTTTTTTTTTTGTATGGGGGCTGGGGTACCGGGGATTGAACTCAGGGGCACTCAACCACTGAGCCACATCCCCAGCCCTCTTTTATATTTTATTTATAGACAGGGTCTCATTGAATTGCTTAGCACCCCACTTTTGCTGAGGCTGGCTTTGAACTAACGATCCTCCTGCCTCAGCCTCCCAAGCTGCTGGGATTACAGGTATGAGCCAGGCTACTGAGTAGTTCTTGAAACACAGAGAGAACCCCTGAGGTTAGGAAGTTTCACAAAGAGGCAGTACAGAGTGGTAGAAATTCCGTGGTGCAGGGGATCAGAATCCATTCCCCCCTCTACCCAGATAAACCTCCTGAGCCAGGCCTCTGTGGGCCTCCGGTTCCCTTAACAGAGATGTGACATACGTTGACATTTATTGAGAGCATACCTTGTGCCACCACTAGGGTAAGTGCTTCACCCGGATCTTTAGTCCCCCAAAATCCTATATCGAAGATCGTCCTTGTCTTCACTCGAGATGAGACACAGGAGTCCAAAGGGATTAGTCCAACAGAGAGGAGGCAGAGAAGCCACAGTGGACTCGCGACAGAGTGAGACAGGGCCAGGGCTGCCCAACCCCAGCTTCCAGGGCCTCACCTCCACGTTCCCCCACCTGCCCCTACAGGTGAGCCAGACTTCACCCTCCCCGACACGCTGAGCTCTTAGCTTGGAGAGCTGGCTACCTTTGATGGAGCACAGCTCCAGTTCCACTTCATTTCTGGTGAAACCTTCTACTTTTGTTTTTTATGGCTGCTGTCCTGTAACAAATCACTACAAATTTGGTGGCTGAAAACACAGATTTGTTTTCTAACCATTCTGGAAGTGTCAAGAGGGAGATGGGTTGTGCTGGGCTGAAGCTGTGTTGGGAGGGCTGTGTCCCACCTGGATCCCTCAGGTAGAGTCCATTCCTCCTGCCTTTCAAAGCTCTCTGGCACTGCCTGCATTCCTTGGCTCTTGGCCCCTTTCTTTATTGTCAAAGCCACACTTTCTGGCCTTAAGTGTTGTACCTTCTGTGACTCTGAACCTTCTGCCCACCCCTCTCCTAAAGACTGTGTGATTTACATTAATAACCAGGATCATTACCATTTTAATACCCTTGACTTAATCTCATCTGCAAAGTCTGTTTTGTCATATAAGGTGCCATCAGTACATGTTCGTTCTTTCTTCCTTCCTCCCTCCCTCTCTCTCTCTCTCTCTCTTTCTTTCTTTCTTTCTTTCTTTCTTTCTTTCTTTCTTTCTTTCTTTCTTTCTTTCTTTCTTTTTCTTTGTGCTGGGGATTAAACCCAGGGCCTTGTGCATGCAAGGGAAGCACTCTACCAACTGAGCTATACCCCTAGCCCAGTACATGTTCTTGAGAGCAGGATATGGACATCTTTGAGGGGCCCTTGTTCAGCTCACCATACCTTCCCCAGTCCCTGGAGACAGAACTGTCTACCTTTCTTCTGTTGCTCCCACAGCCCACAGTAATTTCTTCTCACCATGGTTTTTGACCTGTTCTGTCAATTTCCTGCTCATATCCTGATTCCCCCATTAGTCTGTCTTAATAGCAGAATCTATACTTAACCTGGTTATGGGTTCTCAGTGCCTACTATGGTGCCTGGCATGCAATAAGTTCTTGAGTAAATTGTGAATGATGAATTGGCATGTGGCCTCAGGCAAGACACTTCCCTTCAGTTTGATTTCCTCATCTGTGAATTGAAGTTGGAAGCCCTGCTGCTCCGTGACCTTTTGGCACTGAGGTCTTATGATGGCTCTTTGTGTAACTGAGCTGGACTTGGTTTCTCAGGTGAAATTGTCTTCCTGCAAACCCTGAACTGGGGGATTATGACCTGCCCTTAAGCCCCCAGTGGTGCAGTGCATTAACCTGGAATATTGGGTCAGCCAAGCACTTTAATCCAATGTGTTAGGGATAGTTTTGTCACAGTAAGCAGACTTGTCTAGACAAAAAAATCACATGCCAAATGGGGATATCCCCTACAGAACTGCTCACTAGTTGAATGCTTCCCAGAAAGGGAACACAGTAGAACTTGATACAGATCGAAAATCTTCAGTGTGGTGGTTCAACCCCAGGCACAGGCCCTTAGGGCCAGGCAGGCCTGCACAGCTCCACAGATGTGGACAGAGGTGCACAGGACTAGGGCAGAAGGTCAGAACCCAGACACACCCAGATGTTCCCAGACACACAGACATCCATTCTCTCTAGCCAGAACTCTGAACCACAGGCACACAGACACAAACTCAGGCACACAGACACAAACTCAGGCACACACTGACCCCTCACAGCCCTCCTCCCACCTACACACCCTCAAAGTCACCCCTAGCAAAGATGCAGACTCCACAGCTGGGCTCACCCAGGGACTCAGATGAAGGGACCGACATCAGTTCATTTCCTGTCCAGTGATAACTTGCATGTCTGCTCACCTCCTCGCTGACCCTCGAACAGATGGCAAATGCAGGGCCCTGGGAGGGGTCAGGGGAGGGCCAGGCCGCCATTGCTGTGGGTTCAGCAGAGGAAGCAGCTGCTCCTGAGTTTCATAAACACAGGGCAGTCTTTCCTGGCTTTCCTCTTCCCAGGGTGTGGCCCAGCCAGCAATTGTGTGCTGCTATCTTCCTCCAGGATGTAGGGAAGGGAGAGAGCATTCTTTGTCTCCGCCCTAGTGCGCTGACCTTAGGAAGAGAGACCAGCTAGAGTGCTGGTGGAAGAAGAGTTCAGCGGTGGCGACCTTGGAGAGGAAACACGTGAGGAGAGGGCCACACCTGGCCCAGCACACAGGCAGGGGTTGGAACCAGATTCTGGTAGCTCAAGCCTATCCCAGCCAGCTACAGCAGCCATTCCTAGCAAACTTGGTCTGTGCTGGAGTTTGTAAGGTGACTTCCTCCTCTCTCAGGAGATTCCCATCTGCTCCCTTTGGGTGTATTCCATGTCCAGGTGCAGGGGAGTGGTTGAAATGGCCTCCCAAATCTCTTATGGCCTTGCCAAAGCCTAGCTCTTTGCCAGTGGTTCCTGAGGCTGACCTTGCCACCACAGAGCCCCTGCTCAGGCAGGTGGGAACATGGATGATGTGGGATGTGGTGGAGAGAAGGGAGCAAAGACAGGCATTAACTTTGGCCCCAGGCAATGATAACAGTGTGGTTCCAGTCCCCTCCTGTTTGCAAAGTACTTCTCAAGCCTCCTTTCACTTTGCCCTGCTGAGGTGAGTGGGGTGTGTGACCCTGTACTGACTCAGAAGGGGGAGCCGCCTTCCTGCCACTTGCCAGTTGGCCCTCTTGACCAGGTCATTTCACTTCTCAGCTGCCTTTTCCTACTCAACGAGGGGGGTTATTGTATTTACATGATTTTTAGATTGAGGATTCAATGCCAATGAGGTGCATTACATCGGGCACACACAACATGCTGAGTGGATGGGCATTATGTGGTACATGCTGTGCTTTGTCTTAGGCATTCAGAGCTAAAAGGAGTTGGTCCTTCAAGAACTCACAGTGCAATATATGTTTCCAAGACTTGATCCTCATCCATAATAAGAAATACATTGTACATCATAACCCCACAGAGGCATCCAAACACAAAATAAGGCTTACCACTTAATGTTCCTAGACACACAGACATCCCTTCTTAGTTTTTTCCATTTAACTCTTAAAAATGCAGATGGTGACACCCAGTAACTTACTGAGGGCTTGAGACCAATCTGATTGGAACAAACACGTGGAAAAGCAAGTACAATGGAAGGGCACAGCTGTTGGCATGGGGTCCGTTACTGAGGACAGCAGAAGACAAGAGTGGGGATCATCAATTCTCCTTGAGGGTTTCGGAGGTCTGGAACTCCTAAGGAAGGTGATTCTTGAAAGATGAGTAGACATTTGTTATGACATACAGAAGATCAGCCAGGGAACTGTATGTAGGAAGAATAGCATAAGACATAGGAATGGATAGAAAGARTGCCTCTTTTCTTGGCTCAGACGTGCAAACCATTGGAGCTTGCAGGATAAAAAGGAGAGGCAAGCTCAGGGAGTAATAGCCCCCTTCTCCCTTTTAGCTTCTAAATTGGAGTATTTCTGGGGATGGTGGCCCTTGTCTTTGTCCATTCTTTGTCATCTCTGGGTGCCACATTCCTGAGCACCAGCTCTTGCTGAAACTAGCACCCCATTGCAGGGCCACCAGCCCTCAGRGTCCTCCTTACTGGGTGCCCTCCTTTGTGCTAGCCGAGGAGAACTTTCCTGCAGGCTCCTCAACAGGGCACTTCTTCAGAATGGCCCGGGACACTCTCCTCTCCTCCTCCAAACCCTCTTTCTTCTTTTAGAGAAGGTTAACTTCTTGTGTGTTCCTCAGTAGCAGTGATGATTCTTAATGATGATAACTGAAGTAAGATGTGAATAGTCCTTCACAGATAGGAAGTGTTTTCACATGTATTATTTATTCATTTAAGCTTTACAGTAAATATAGGAAGTTAGTTTTCTTTTTAATAATATTTGCACACAAATCCAGGGCAGGAAGATCACCTGAAATCATCAAACCTTTTCATTTTGTATCAGTTCAAGATGACACAAGAGTGTGACTTGGTCCCAGTTCCACAACAATAGCTGTTTGGGGACTGGATCCTGCTGCTGGGCTCCTGGGGTGACACTCTTTCTGCCCCATTGTGTTTCTTCTCAGATGCATCAGGAAATCACTCACCACAGACACTGGCAAATGTATCGTGTCAACAGCTGCTGAAAGCCCTTTATTGAGGACAAAAAATAATGATTGTAATTGAGTAATGCCATCTCCAAAAGACCAGGCTGCCAAAGATAACTTTTGTCTAGACAGCACTTACTATATAGTAGGGCAGGAGGGTGAGTTGATTCCCAAGGCTTTCTCCTCCCAGGAAATTTCAGGGCCAAGACACACTGAAGTGCATGCAAAATCATCAGCAGCAAMCAGGGTCTCTGTTGCACATGGCGGTGGGATCAGCCTTCATGGAGGACTGCTGTTCCTGAACTGTGAGCACAGAGATGACTCAACACAACCCATGCCCTTGAATAGCTGACAGTCTAGAAGGGGAAACATGACATGGCATTGAAGGATCATGCATCACGGCCTATGGCCTAATGCTGAAACGGAAGGTCATGAAAAGTTCAGTAGGGGAACCAAAGAGGGAAGAGAAGGCAGCTCAGGGAAGCATCCTGGTGTCCAGGGTGCAGATAAAAGAGTCTCTCTCAGAATATTAAATAAAGCCCAGTGACACACAGCCACGCAATGGTACATCTATCATTTGAGCCCATCCATTCATCTGCATAGACCGCCCACTGAAGTTCTCTTGTCTGTGRTCTGCACAACAAATACCTGTGGTGTTATTGAAATGCAGATTCCAGGCCACTCTCCAAATTGGTCTGTAGTGTGCCTGGAAATCTGCTTTTTCAAGAAGAACCCAGGTGATTCTGAAACAGATAATTTGAGTGGTACACTCAAACCCCGAAATAACCAGAATAGACAACTCTTGTCTTCTTCTGCTTCTACGATTCTAAAGCCCTTTGGCTTTTATAGTTATCTGCCCTGTGCTGGTATCTAAACTAGTGGGAGCTTATAAAGAGTCTCCGTGGCCAAGAGCATGATTCCTATCTTCAGGTTCACTTACCCACAGTCAGGAGTTGAAACACTCTTGGGCTCCAGGAACTTTTAAAAAGACAATTCAGTTGTCATACTCTGCCCTTCACAAAATGGCCCTCAAAATGTGCTGATCCAACCGTCCMTGGCCCTGGAGATGGAGACCTGGCCACCACCCAGACTTCCTGCTTCTGGTGGACTTGGTTCTTGGTGAGCTCYAGGCAGGCGGGCCCAGCAGGACCAGGCCGTGTGTGCTCCAGGCGGGGCTGGCATCGCTGCAGCAGGTGAACGCTGGCAAGAAGACTCCAGAGCATCTTTTCCAGTGTGACTCATTTCCAAAAATAGCCCCAGAAATTGTAAGTCTTTAAAAGCAGATCCTATCTGCCTTGTGGAAAACTCCAGGTCAGCACAYAGTCCCTGTAGCTGTCTTGAGTCAGCATCCACTTTCCCAAGTTCATTCACATTCTCAATGGCTCCTCTTTTCCCCTTTCCTTTCTAGTTTTTCTAGTTCTTTCTCTTCTTCCTGCCTTTTCCACATAAAAGCAAGATACAAAGAAGTGARTTTGCGTAGACAGGCACTGAACCCACAAGCCAGGGTTAGTGACTTCTGTGTGTCACCGTGCCATACCTGTGATCCACATTTACATCCCATAATCCTGATGGTAACCCCCAAGAGATAGGCATTGTATCCYTCACATGGGTATTTGGCTGAAAATGGCAAACCTTGGATTTGCAAACAAATCCATCCCACCTTAAAGAACAAAGCTTCTCAGCAGAGCTCTGTGGCTGGATGGGAGTGGGAGAGGACTGTGGTGCTAGAGCCTTAACAGCCATTCATAAGGAGCTGCTCCCTGCACATTTCTTATCTCCTCATCTTGTGGTGTGGATGGGGCTCCTACAGCCTAGAGCTGCTTTGTTTGTGTGTAGTCTTGCTCTTGAAGGAAGAGCCACATTGTCCAGAGTGTTTGGGTAAATCAAATCGCCTTCCGCCCTGAGATCTGATCACAGAATAGCTTGACATTCTGACTCAGCAGGAGGTCAGAATCACTTCCCCAAGACCATATCAAAAGGAGCCAAAATATTAGAAGGCGGAARAGAGCTATCATTTTCCCCCTGGCCCTAATTACCCCAATTTTAAGAGTTTTCAGTGGGAACCAATGMGGAAAAAAAATTCAGTAGTAGAAAAACAGAACTAGCAAGAAAGTCATGGCTAAAGTCACACCCACCCACACAGACATATCGCATCTGTCATCTACAGGCCTATCCTTGGTATTTAAAAATCACTCTCTTCCTCTTTGTCTTCATAGTGCCATCCCAGGACTTATCTTCTCCTAGACTCTGTAGTCCCTATCTTGGGGCTCCCTGTACCTTCTCTGACTCCTTTGAGTTATTAGCACAACCTGTTGCAAGACTTTCCAGTGCTTTATCCTTGACAATGATGTCTAGAAAGGAGGGGTCTGAAGTGCTGGACRTGTCCAAGGAGGCCTCTCAAGTTCAGGCCCTCTGCTCTCCAGCTTCACTGATGGCTCTGTCCCGGCCACACTGAGCATCAGGAAGTCCTGAACTTTCTGTTCTCCCCGCCTCCTGCACCCCAGTGCGCCGCTGCTCCCTCTGCCTGTAACAGTCTCCAGGACATTCCCTACCTGGGGAACCCCTCCTTATCCTCCAGAGTTAAGCCCTAATAGCTGCCCCCTGGGAGAACTTTCTAAGGGGCACTCCCCACCCCTTCAGTCTGAGTTAAAAGCCACATTCTTTGGGCTTCTTTTCCACTCTGGCCTCTTTCTAACACAATCCTCAAAACACAATATTGTGGAGGCCATCTTCCTACGTGACGCTCCCTCATTGGCATGGACTTACCTTGAGGACCAAGAACTGTGTTTTGGGAATATTCAGTTTTGTATTCTTGGGACTCAAAACACAGCAGGGGTTTAATAAATGTTTAATAATTGCCCTGATTCTTTTTTCAGAAAAAGTGATTTATAAAATTMAAAAAAATCAGAGAAATGAAATTAAAAGCAAATGTCCTGAGCACCGTAGCTTAGACCTCCTCTTGGTATCTAGCATCCAGTTTTCTTGTTTGCTGAGACAGTGCTTATTGTGGTCTATTCTTTTGTACAGTGAGAAGACCTGTGGAGCTGGGCTGTGGACTGGGAGTGGGTTTGTTCTGTGGACCTACGATAGGTCCACTCATCTGTGTAGAGCCTTCCCAGCCTCGGCCTCCAGGTAGAGATCACCCAGGAAGTGGAACTGTTCCAAGCCAAGAAGTTTACCACTTTTACGAGAGCTTTTTGTGTTCTSTTGTTGAAGCATTAGGAAGATGAAGCCCTGTTTGAGTCTTGATAGGATCACGTTTCATGATCCCCCCTCAAAAAGTGTTTGTGTAACCTCAAGCCATACTGAAAGCAAGGAGGTGGGATTCTGCCTGACCTCACTCAACCCTTCATCTTGCTGCCTGGCCGTGTGGTGTGCATGTGGCATCCAAGAATGTGCTTGCCCTGAAGTCTGTTGGTCTTGTATATACTGGTAGAACCCAAGGCCAGAGCACTTGCTTTTCTTGAACTAGGGGGAACTTTAGAAATTCAACAACAAACATCTATTGACCACCTGGTAGGTGTAAAACCCAACTTAGGTGCTGTGGGTAATCCAGGGTGATAAGGACTGGGTCTCCTCTAGAGTCTCCCACCCAGGAAGAASAGCCAGCTAGCAAAGCTTTGGAGACATGAGGGAGCATCACTTAGTCTAGGCTCAGTAATTACTGTGGCATCCACAGCATTAGAGAAAGAAATGTCTTGTTATTGGCACAGTTTTAGGTCTTCTTGAGTTCACTGTGACCTTTAACCTTCATATTATTTCCATCTTGCAGTTAGGCAACACAAACTCTAACATGCAATGGATATGAACCCCAAAATATTAGATTGGGAGATAAATCAGTAGATTAAGGGGTCAGTGGTTCAAGTGTTTGTTGGGGATGAKGGAGTTGTTCTCTGCCTGATTTGCCCTCAAAGATGGAATCTAGGGGAAAGATCTCTAAGAAACTAGGACTGGGAGAGCCTGCTGAGATAGTGGAGCTAAGAGCCAGTGATGGAGAGATGGATCGAGACCTTTACCTTAGAGACAAAGCAAAAAGGGAGGATGATTTCAGGTAGAGAAGTGGATACAGAATCTGCACCTGTCTGATGATAGCATCATTTTAGTACAGTAGGAAGGAAGGGCATGGGGGAGAGAMGGGGCTGGGATAGGGAGGAGTTGAAAGTTTCATCATTGAACACATTGAACTTTGATCGCATCTGTTCAGTTTTTCTTATACTGGGGGCACTTGAAGACCACCTCCCCAGCTGCTCCTAATGGATTCCCTTGCTGGGAAGCCCGGAGCCCCCTAGTAGCTGGCACACAGGGCGTTTCCTTCCTTCCTCTCAAGTTTGACCTTGGCTGGGAGACAGACCTTTCTGTCCCAACCTTTTCTCTGTTCAAATTGCCTTAGAAAAGACAGGAAGAAAAGGCTTAGATTTTTTTTCCCCCTTTGCAAAAGGGTACTTTCAGTGGCTCTCAAGCTAAAAATGTGTTRAAGTGTGACATTTCTTGGCTAAGATCCCCTTTTCTTGTAGTAGCCAACAAAATGAAATGTTTATAATATGTAACAGGCTCAAAATTAGAAGATACGAAAGAGTTTTGTGGGTCTCCAAATTTATTTATCTTCTGGCCACTCCATTCCCCTCTCCTGGGGTAGCCAGCATTACTAGTTTCTTTATGACACTTTGTTGATTGCTGTGTTACTAGAGAAGTGACATTTTGGAAATCAGTTCAACAAATAATCCAAGGCCTTACCGTGACCAGGCCCTGGCTGAGTCTTAGTTTTGGTGAAGTCTTCATTTTTTTTTTTTTTTGCCTTAGTAAGGTGGCCAGAATGAAAAGGCAGTACCTTAATTGTTAGTGAGCACATTACCATCTGCGGGTATTGCAAAACATTTCAGTTCTGAAAGTGTGGGATGTAGAATTTGAGGGGGCAGTGCTAGGGATTGAACTCGGGGCCTTGTGCATGCTAGGTAAGCACTGTCCCATTGAACTACATCTTTGCCAGGAACTTTGAAAGTATTTTATTCCCCACTTCCATTCAGCTATGTATTTTCTATTAAATTACACAATTGACAGTTGCCACTTATAATTACTTAATACAAACCCCTGCTGCTAAATGGCTCAAGTGGAAATCTGTGTGTGTACTTTGCTTATCTAATACAAAGCACAGGTTTTTGTTATTCCAGTAGCTCATCAAGTTCTTGACTCTTGCGTCATAGCTCCTTGACACAGCAGCTACATCTGAGCCATCCTTAATGTGCTTGCCAAAGGGTTTTCAGCACTCAGTGATTCTAGGACAGACTCCTAGGTCACATGCCCAGAGGAGGAAGAATGCTGGGTATGAGGATAGGAGATTTTTTTTTATTGACCTTTTTCCTCCAAGTTAGTTGCTGATTCCCTCTGCAAAAAGACCTGGCTTCTTGTCCCATATGAAATGATTGCTRTCATGGGGTTTTTAAGAAAAAGTGGTCACTGCTGCTTCCTTACTTCAGCTCCTGTTGACAGGAATTCACATTGGCCAATCTGACTCGGTTACACCCTGAATTCCTYTGTAAGGAAAGGGAAAGTAGCGTGGATTACTGACTAATTATGACTTGCTTCCCTTGCTTAAGAACTTCTCTTTCATTGCTCATTTGCCCTGAGAAATCAGGAAGTCTGGGGTTGCAGGTACAGAGCACTGGACTGAGTCCATAAAACTGGATTCTACTCTTGCACAACCTGGGCCATGTCACTGTCCTCCAGACCTTAGTTTCCCCATTCAAACAATAAGAGTTGGACTATATGACCTCTAGGGTCCTTCCGGATTTAGAGAGCTATGGTTTAGGGCTCTCTTTTCCTAAAGTCTGTGTACCTCCCACCTTCCTTCCATTTGCCTCTGCCTGTCCCCAGATCCCAAGTGGCAATTACTAATTCGGATCTCTGATTTGTGCTCCTAGGTATTCTTCGTGTCAGACCTCTTCAAGACTAAGACGACACTCTCCCTGCCTTCGCCTGCCATCAGGAAGGAGATCCTTTCACCTGTGGACATTATTGACAGGAACAATCACCACAACATGGTGTAGGTGCTGCCCGCCTCCTGAGCTGGTTTTTTTTTTTTTTTTTTTGTACAATGACTGCTGACAGCAAGTTCTTGCTGCTCTCCAATCTCATCAGACAGTAGAATGTAGGGAAAAACGTTTTTGCCCAACTGATTTTTGAAAAGGAAAAAAAAAAAAAAAAAGTCTTACCTTGTGGCCTTCCAAAATAGGTAGCGTTCACCTATGTGGAATCAACAGCAAACTAACACCAAGTGCCGGAGTCCTGGATGTGCAGTTGGTTTAAGTGTTCATGTTCTAGTGAGCACGGGCCTGTCCCACCACAAACACTAAAATGATTTTGAGTCTTCTGGTCACCTTTGGTGACCTGAGAATCCCAGGCCTGTGAGAAAAGTGCAAACTCAACGTTGTAGCACACCACGCCAGAATTAGCACTGAATCCACAAYCTAGCCTTGGGGAACTCCCCTCTTGCATTCCCCCTTCTCATCCACTCTCTTCTCTACTGTGACTTTGGTTCAGAAAATTTTGTTTTCTTAAATCTAAGGAATGAGCATATTTGCTCAGTCAAGTGGTCAAGATCCCTAATCCTTAGAATTTTCTATCACAGCTCCCGACCCCTGCACAGTCCACAGGCCCACAACCATGGTCCCTCACTTTAGAGATTAGAAGACTCTTTGTGGGATGAGTGAACTTCACAAATAGCACAATTTCAGAAGAAATGGAGGGTCCAGGCCTCCATTTGTCTTCTTTTGACTCATCGTCCTGTGATGTTGGGATGTCGATCACAGGATGCTGATGTTGTACACGTCAATCACCGGGCACTTGCACACTCTTAGAAACGGTTAGACTTCGGTTACTGCCATCTCCCTTGAAATCCGGGGTTTCCTATGAGTGTCCAGAGATGAGCAAGGGCATGGTCGGCCTCTGGCTGATGCAAAACAGCCTTCTGGACAGGAGACAGGGGAGGAAAAGGGCAGAATGAAAGATGAAACAACCTTTCAGCTACTCCAATTCGGAGGGAGCCAGAGTAGCAGCCGGTCTCCTGCCTGAAAGGCTACCCTTCAAGATAACGGAGCGGAGAGGGTTTCCGTGGGAGTTGCTCTTGCTAAGCTGTGTAAAGCACTGTTGTCTTGGGGTTGACCCCTAGGGCAGTTCTCGGTAGGTTCTGCTGGGCAGAACACTTGGGTTAAATCTCCGTAGAGTTTTCCTCATTCTCTATCCATAAGTGTCCTTCCAAGCAAGGTCGTACTCTGGGTGGTAGATGGGGACCCCTTCTACTGGACCTTTGAGGAAAGGAGGAAGAAAGAAATGCTTCTCCATCTTGGATGCAAACCTTTCAAAGGGCTACATGTAACCATATGGATCAACCACATGCACATCCTTGTTACAGAATCCGTCCTTTCATTTCAACGTATAGCAAGCTATGATTTTTATATATAAATATTATATAAATAATGTATAAAACATTAAAAGTTAACTATGTAAAATATTATTTCTGAAGCAATTTTAGCTATATCCACTATGATTATAAACTGTGTCTCGACCTGTGTTATTTACTTTAGCTGCTTAAAAAAGCAATGAGTTAATTTTTTTTTTTTAATCTCAACTAAAATATCAATAGTTCTGTGGTAGCCATTGTTTTACAATGAGAGAAATAACTGCAACTAGAGAAAAATGTATAAAAACATTAAATTGTCAGTATTTTTGTAAGGTTCCATTTTGTAAAGAGAATAATATTCAAAGACTTTTGTAGCATACAAAGTGAAAACTTGTATCTGCGAAACTATACTTGTATTAAATGTGCTTTTTAAATAAAAGCTCATAACACAACTAATTAAGGAATTGGAAGCTGGAATGTTGGAGGGATGTTTGTGTTGGGTGCGTGGGTAGGAGGAGGGGGAGGCAGGCCAGCCTCTGATTGGCCTCCCTCGGGGCACCGCCTTCTGATTCTGTCAGTGGGCAACATGGCAACCAGAGGAGAGATACCAGTGGCTAAGCTGCTCTTTCATCTCTGAAAGCCTGTTTGCAGAGTGAGGCTCTGGCTCTGTCTCATCTCAGGGGCTTCTAAAGAGCTTTTGTATTCTAAGAGGGGTTTTAGGGAAGTGGGAGCTGTGAGGCCCCCCCAAGGCAGATAAGGAGCCAGTGCTCAGATAACGTGGGCTTGGGGAGCTGACTGGGGGAGTCCTTCACAGGGTCCACAGCAAAGGAAGAAGACACACTGCTGAAAACGCTGTTTGTCTCCTTGCCTGTGACCCTCTTCTTGTGCTTTCCAACCAGGAAGAAAAGGGGAAGCTCGAAATTCACATGTACTGTGTGCCTGTGCACCAGGTAGTTCTGCCTCTTTGTTCCTTTTTACCCAGAACAGTTATTATTTTGAGAAGTAAGGAAAGCCCAGGAATGCAAAGGTGAAACCACTTGTCTAAGATCCTTCAGAGTAATTGCAGGACAGGTCTTATATTAGTTTCCTATGGTCATTGTAACAAATTACTGCAAACAGTGGTTCAAAGCAACACAAAGTTGTCAATTTCCCAGTTTTGCAGGGTCTGGGGGAGAAGTTCATTCCCCATCTACAATCCCTTGCCCTCTTCCTTCTCATTGTGCTGTCTCGGGTTCTCCCCCTCTGCCACAGCTTCCACATTCGAAGACGTTAGTGATTATGTGGGACCACTCAGATAAATCTTAGGATAATGCACCTATGTTAAATTCAAATGATTGGCACATATAATTCCAAGTGGCTAAACCTTAATTCCCCTTAGCCATGTAAAAACAGTTTCCAGGGATTTGCCCGTCGACATCTTTACAGTTCACCCTCTGGCTTCCAAAGCAAAATAGATTTACTTTATCTCCAAGTTTGTTCTCTCTCTCTCTCTCTCTCTCTCTCTCTCTCTCTCTCTCTCTCTCTCTCCTTCTTGAGGTAAGTGAAGTGCTCTACCACTAAGCTATATCCCCATTCCTAAATGTAGTTCGGTGATAGAGCACTTTTGTAGCATGCAAAAATCCCCGAGTTCAATCCAGCACTGCAAAATAAATAAATAAAATACATAAATAAACACATTTGTTAAATCTCATCTAAAACTAACTTAACAATCCCAGATCTCATTATCTAAATCAGGTAAGGATAAGCCTCTATGTTCATACCACCCTGAGGTCTAATTGTTCTCCATCTTCGAACCGGTAAAACTAAAGAAACAATTAGCTGCTTCTAAAATTCAGCAATAGGACAGGCATAGGAAAACAGAGTCTTTCATATTCAAAAAGGAAAGAAGTGGAAAGGAAAAAAGGAACCATCAACCCTAAGCAATTTCCAGATCCAGACTGACAAACTCCATTTGGTTCCAAGGCCTGGAAATGAACTCCTGTGGCTTACGGCTTGCTTTTTTGCTAGCAAGACCAGCCTGCTTGCTCTTGGTTATTAGACAAAGTAGGCCCATTTCATGCCCTGATATCAGCTCAGCAACTTTTTTGTGAGTTGTGATGTACCTTTGGGCCCCAGGTGCAGCTAGGGAGAACCTAAGGCCACACTTCAAATTTTTACTTCAATTCTGAGGAACAAAGATCCAGTGAGAGAAAATAACTCCTGCTGATGGGGGCAGAAGAGGGGAGAGAAACTGAGAGGGAGAACTGGGTGATTCCAGCACCAAAGCCTCCCGACATGAGTCCCCTAGTCAGTCCATTGTGCCTCTCTACAAGTAGCTGACAGCGTACCCACAAGAGACATAGCCCCAATTCATGTAGACTTACAGAAAGATGGAACTGCAGCTCAGAATAGCCATCGCCACCATGATGAGCCACCCAGCAGTGCAGAAGGATAAGTGGATTTCAGGACTCAGGTCCACATCACAGTCTTGGCTCTCCCCGGTACCGGCTCTGAGATGTGCCTGAACCTGAGTCTTGGATTGTTACTTTATAAGGATGGGATTTCTAATACCTGTTCTTATACCTCTGTCATCATGGCATTCTCTGAGTCTAGACCCTTGATTCTCAAAACGTGGTCCACAAACTAACAATATCTGCATCCCCAGAGAGTGTGGTACAAGTACAGAAGTGGAAGCCCCTGCCCCACCTAAACCTGAACCTTCCTATGAACAAGATCCCAGGTTGTTCATGTGCACAGGAAGGTTTGAGAAGTACTCCCACTCTATACTTCATAAACCTTCAGCCTCTGATCTGGTGTTCACTACCCCAAGCCACATTCCTGCTAGGCTTGGCTCAGTGCATGCTGGGCAAACATCAGTGACCTCTTAGATTTAAGGACCAAAATCCTATGACTATCAAGCTTATAACATTCTAACCTGGCACAGTGATGCACCCCTGTAATCCTAGCTACTTGGGAGGTTGAGTAAGGAGGATCACAAATTAAAGGTCAGCCTGAGTAACTAGAAACACCCTGACTCAAAATTAAAAAGGGTTAGGGGAATAGCTCAGTGGAAGAGTGACACTGGGTTCAATGGCCCGTACTGCGGGGGGTGGGGGATCCACAAAGGTCTATAAGGTTCTCAGAGACAAAAGTTTGTCTTACCTTCTCTGCCAAGTCTTGCATCCCTGTTTGGTATAGTTCCTGGTATTTATTGAGCCAATTAACCAGCCCCAGGTCAAAAAGTCACATGACTCTTGGTAACCAACCAATTAAACAGACTGCAGGGATATGGAGAAGTGCAAACCTTTTCCTCTTTCTTTAGGAGTTAGTAAGAACATGTATTTTTTTCTGAGATAGAGATAAAAAGCTTCACCAGTCCCAAGTCTGCGTGACTTCTCCTACTTAGAATGGATTCACATATCCATTAGCTTATTCCAAAATATTTCCAAGGGAGTATTTATGGATAAATGACTGAYAGCTATTTTACATGGTTTGTTTCATTTAAATCTCCACAAACAACTATTAAAGTAGATATGATTAGCTCCCTGTTGCTGAAAGGGAAACCAAGACTCAATTAAGAATCTTAGTTCACACATCTAATTTGGGATAGAAATTGGGATTCAGATCCAAACAATTTCCGTTATTCATTGAGTAATATTGACTCTAATTACTTCCTATGTCCCAGGCCCTGGTAAACACACCAGGTAGAGCAGTAAATAAAACAGGTGACATTCCAGCTTCAAGGAGCTGTGTCTAGAGGGGAATGCAAGAGATTGAGTGACAAATGTAGGGATTCAAATAAGCATTATAAAGAAAGAATGCTAGAAGCTACGGGAACTCATCCTACAGAGGACTCATCCTACAGAAAGCCACACAGGGCCAAAGCCTGTTTACTTCACTCCTCTGCCCCAGCAAAATGAATGAAATGCAGGTGCAGGGAAGAAACAAAGGAGTAAATAAATAACTAGGGCAGTGGGGTAGGGAGGGAGTCCTTGGTGAATGCTGAGGCCGCAGGAACAGAATGAGTCAGAAAGACTGTTCTCTATGGTGGACTTTCTTCCTCCAGTCCTCTAGAACACCCAACTCTGGGGAAAAAAAAAAAAAAAAAAAAAAAAAAAGCTAGTTCCTTACACAAGCCTGTCTAATGATGAGTATGTAGAGTTTTCAAAATACTTAGATCCATGCAGTCACGTGTGAGTTGTTGGGCCTCCTTCTAAAAGAAAGCAGTGAGCAAAAGACCCCAGAATAGGAGATGAGTGGCAGGAATCAGGGACACCTCAGTCATTTTCTTTTTTATTTCAAAATGGTGTAAATGACAAGAAAAGGAATGGTGAGCTATTTTTAAGACTTCATGATAGAGGTATATAAATGAAAGGGAAACATATAAAAGCATGCTCAACTTTTGAATCATGGAAAATTGCAAATGGAAATCATACTGAGTTATCGTCGTATAAACAACAAAACAATACCARGAGTGATTATAGTTGTGAAACGATTGGAACTCTCATTTAGAGCTGGTGGCCATGTAAATKGGTACAAGCCCTTTGGAAAGCTTTGCCAATATCTACTAAAGCAATAATATCATACCCCATTGTTCAGTA